TGGGCCTTGGAGGTCAATTTTATACCTGACAGCTTTTAGTTTTGTTATGTTCCTTTTTTTAATTCTAGTTTGTGTTTTAAGAGTTTTTTTATTTAAAAAAATACTATATCTTGCATCTTTAGACTGACTGGGTTTTGGTATTTACCTTTTCTGCTTTCAAGATTCTCTTTATTTTTTCCTTCTCTTTAATTGCCAGCTGAATGGAAGAGTAAAGTGATACTGCTTTTTATAATTAGCAAAATACACAATCAGGCATAGAGGGAAACTGATTAAAAAGTCATTTCTCAGTGTGGAAGGGTTGATGGGATTTATTACTAAGCAGTAGATAATTTATGTGTCTTTACCAAATGTTGAATCCAGCTGTTCTGCGGTAGGGGAACACCTGATCGACTGTAACAATTTTTAAGGTAATCGGGTTCCAAGGTGGTAGAAAGGACATGTAAGCTGGCACTAAATTACTTTGTTACGCTTGCAGAAAAGATGCCCAGGCCCTTCATGGTGGGTGCAAAGAAATACACAGTTTCCATGAAGAAGACAATATTACTCAACCAAATAAGTCATACAATTGCAGAGCAGGGTTGATTTTTTTTTTTTTTAAACATGGGTGTGACAATTCCCTAATTAGGACTTCAGTGAAAGGTCAAATGAGCTAAAAGTTTTACGCATTTAGTGTCTTGGTTCTGAGCCTGTATAGAGAACCTTGTCCCCCAAGCGTTTGAGTATTACATGCAGATTTATTATGTTATGTCTTTCAGAACTTTGAACAAGAGAAATACTCTCTTCAGAGAGAAATCGAACTCAAGAATCGAATGTTGGAAAGCTTGAGTTTTGAATGTGATTCCCTTAAGCAACAGCAAAACATGCAACTGGATAAACAGAAAGAACAGCTTGCCAGAGTCTATGGACAAGAAATCAGTGACCTTAAAAATAAGGTTTGGCAACTCAGAAACAGCTAATATCTTGCTAATAACATTTTAAAGATGATGTATTTAGCTCATAGTAGCACACTTAGCATTGACACAAATCTATTAAATAGTTTTAATGTGTAGGAACTTGTTTGATTGGCTTTTAACAAACATCTGCATAGTTACCTTGTGAATTACATTAAATTTCAAAGCTTATTTTTATAAGTTTGCTCTTAAGTTGTATTTCTAAGATGTTTTCTGTAATTAGAACAGAGTCAAAGTTATTGTGCTGTTCAAGAATTTATTATAAAATGGTACTACTTAGTTGTCAACTGTCTTTAAGTTGGAGAACCTGAAAGCAGAACTAGATGAAACCCGACTCTCAGAGAAACAATTAAGACACAAAGTGGATCATCAGAAGGAAATAATTGCTGCCAAATCAGAAGAACTACATATGATGTCTGAACGTGTACATGAGACCATGTCTTCAGAAATGCTCAATCTTCAGATGGAACTCACTGAACTAGAAAGTGTGAAGGTGAGTGACTAGAATTTAATTATTAGGAATGGTAAGCTAGTTAGAGATAAAAACTGAACTAGAAAGTGTGAAGGTGAGTGACTAAAGGAATGGTAAGCTAGTTAGAGATAAAACTCTGCACTTTTGCTCATTTCATTTTTAGATGCTTTGCTACCTTATGATTGACTTGCTATTAAGAAAATATGCACAGAGGAAATATTAGCCTTAATAACGAGACTTTAATACAACCTCTTCTTCAAGATAATATTTTATATTAAAAGCGATTACTACTACAAACCTGTTTGGTTCACATGGGAATTGTTTTGGAATTTTCTTGGAGTTGTTTTACAAACTTTTGATTTCATACTTATTTTTTTTAGGCCAATGTTGAAGAAAAGCTGAATGAACTTCAGTACAGCAAAGAACAATTAGAACTCATAAACAGTAACTTACGTAATCAGCTGGAACGTCTACAGGGAGAAAAAGAAGAGAGGGAAAAAGAAGTTGTTTCCTACTGTAATGCGTTAGAGGTATTCTCTTCGTGTTATTCAACAGTGGTAGAGAACACCTGAATTCTGCAAGTTGTGGTGGTGTCTTCTCAGTGAAATCAGAGAAGTTTTGAGAGAGGGCTTCTGAGGAGGGAGGGAGAAGGAGACACAGGAGTGGGGAAAAGAGGGATATCGGCTAGTAATGTTTGGTCCTTCTTCTAATGTCCTTCTTCTGTGGAAGGCTGTGTGAGGAGATCCTTTGCCTGGCAGTGTTCTGCCTCAACAGGACCTTCTTGCGGGTGGCTGATGTAATTCTCATTTTTATTTCAAGTTCCTACTGAATGCCTTGGAAAACTGTGTACTGGCAAGTAGAGGATTTGTAACTAAATAGCACAGCAAGGTACATAGTCTTAGTATCATTATTCCAATTGATGAACATGGAAGTTTTCCTTTAAAGGTTTTAGTTATGCTCTTGTCCTGAGGAGCAAGGGTTAACAAAAAGCCTTTTGGTGAAACAAAATTGCTTGTCTTACTGTAAGTACTGCATCACAAGATAATCGGTGTAAAGGCATAGGAAACAGAAGAGGTACAACTATCTGATTAAATTTGTATATGCAGTGCATCAGATGCTTAAATGACTAATATCCTCTTTGCTTTAATCTAGAAAGCTCGTGAAGCTAATCAAGAGCTTCAGATTCAGCTGGATCATGCAGTGCAGCAATCTTTGGACCCTACAAGTAAAGGCAATTCTCTCTTTGCTGAGGTACAACTATGCCATAGATACGTGAGAATATACAGAGGAGAGAAGAAATATTTAATAAGTTTTATATCTTATATTGCATTGATAATACTAGAATATCTGTACCTGTTCTGGCCAGCGTGAATCTCTATTCCTCAAATACTACTTCAGTGTTGAACTGTTTAGGAACTGACCTACGGAAAACAGTTTTTTTGCACACTGTGAAGTTGGGGAGTTAGTAAACTTAATGGAATCACTCAAAATTACTTGGCTATCAAGATAGAATATGAGACTGAGGGTTTGTAACATTTTGTGTCTGCAGCTTTTAGCTCTAAGTAGTTTTGTCCAGCTGGTAGGCTGCCTTTAATGCAGAAGATAGTATGTGAAATACTAGAAGGTGCTGTTAAATGCTGTCTTTTAAAAACGTGCTGAAAATGGCTGGATGTTTGAGCATTTGGGAGGGTTTTTGAATTAGTTTTTGAATAAGAGTTTAGCTGCCGTTAACTGCATAGGAAATAATTTTATTTTATGACAACACTCAGGGAATGGGTTGAATTGGTACATAGTTGATTTTTGTATTTTAAACTACTTCTTCTGATGTCAATGGACAAAACTGTTGTACAGCAGCACTGAAGCATATGACGTTACCTTATTTTGATATCAAAAGAACAAAAGAAAAATCTGTTGCACTTTACTGATAGTGCTGTACCAGCTGAAGCCCAATCTCTACTCACTTTTGTCTCAGAAGTAATGACAATAGTGCATATTTTCAAGTACTGTTGCTGGAAAAGCAGCATTGCAGAACCGACATCAACTGCTAGGTAACATTTCCTTGTAAAAGTCATCATTCAAGTGACAAGTGTTGTAATTTTCATAGTAATAATTGTTAACAATGTTCTGTAGGTGGAGGACCGTAGGGCAGAAATGGAACGACAGCTGATCAGTGTGAAAGTAAAATATCAGTCACTGCAAAAACAGCATGCATTCACTAGAGAACAGTTGCAAAGAATGAAGGTATGACCATTACTGTAATACTCCAGGGTTTCCTTGGGGTCTGGTGAGGCAATGCTTTAGTACCCAAGCTGGGGGATCATACTGTCTTCCAAGTATGATACAGTAGTTTGGAGGGAGGGAAATGGGAGAAAAAACCAAGGGAGGTGTCACTGTGCTATTTGACTTTTATGGTACATCAGCATCTTTCTGTTGCTACTAGTGTTACTACTTAACCCTAGTACTCCAAGTTACGCTGAAGGCACTGTGCTTACTTTGGCAGTAGTTGTTAAATGGATAGAAATAAATACAATTCCTGTAAGTCAAACTAGCATTCAATTTGTCTTGACAATTGCTTTTTCTTAATTCTTTTACTATGTGAATCATTTATTTGTGTATTAAGTATGGCTGTCAGGAATAAATGTAAAGAAAACAGCAGGCTTGTGCTGTCCTCTGATCGTGCTGTTTTGTTGTTTGTGTTGTGTGGTTTGTTTTTTTTTCTTCCTCCCTGGGTTGCTTTCTTGTTTTTATGTTTGTCCATATTTTTCTTGCTTCTCCCTATCTTTAGTGCTAGAATAAGTCATAACTTTTGTCGTATTACTTGAATTTAGACTGCGTTTCCATAGGGTGGGAGCCTGTTAGCTGATACTATTGAGAACAAGTTAGCAGAAGCTGATAGACAAGATAATGCAAGGGGGATGCTGCAAAACTGCCAGCTGTATTCATGTTGGTTGTCTGATTTTTTTCCAACACAAGAGTGGGTCCCTTCATCTTGATCAAATACTTGATCATGCAGTTTGAGGAGAGTGCTTGAACATCGAGAGTAACAATGAGTAATACTGAAGATACAGGTGTATGTTACCTAGCTTTTGAGGAGAGGTAGGTTGAAAACGGCTGAAACAATATTCTTAAAGAAAAGAACTACTGATGCAGCAGCGGAATTGCCTTTTACTAAAATCTGACCTTGGGAGCTAAAGGTTTTAATGAGTAAAATGATTGAATAGGATCAGTTTCTTAAGAGATTTTCTCCTTGTAATGTGAGGGTAAGTCAGTCATACTGATTGTATGGTGTAAGAAACATTCCTAATACTGAAGAATTTGACCAAGAACTGAGGCAAATTGATAACCCTGTTCTACTACTTAATGGTTTTATTTGGAATTTCAATTTATACTCATTCATCCCCATAAAACGTTTTCTAATATCAATGTTGGAGGTCGGTAGTTTGTTAGGACACCTGCTTGCCTTAAGCTGCTATCTTAGATCCCTGTTAGGATCCTTTCTGCTTTGTGTTGCGTTGTGATGTTGTGTGTTAAAGCTCAGTCTGTAGTTAACTGATCTCCTCATTCAGCAGCCGATTGCAACAGTATAGTAACTATTGTTGTGACTTGAGTTGTCAGAATGTCTGACTGTGGTACTTAGGGCTTCTGAAGATCAGATCCCTGAAGGGAATGTAAGCTGTACTGCTCTGAAAGTTTTACCATGTCTGGTAAAACTGTCTAGCATACAGCCCACAGTATCTCTTCCAGTTTCTTCATGTTTCTGTTCTTTGTTTTCATGTAGATCAACTGCAGTTTGCAATTCTGACAGTTAGCAAGTGGGCTTTTAAGTGAAAGAGGAAACAGTTAGGTGTCTACGTGCTTGGGAAATGGAAGGATAGTTTTAGTCAGCCAGTGGGAGTTAAGACTTTGCTTCCCTTGTGTCCTGGAGCAGCCATGAGGAGCAGATGATTGAATCTTTCCTTAGCTCTAGTTTGTCTACAGGATCATCCATGTCCTTTACTTGACACAGGAGGTTCTGTAGGGTAAATGGTCTTCTCTGGTGTTCTGTTAATCTGTAGTCCAGTTTGTTTCAGTTGATGCTTTCTCTGTGATTTCTCCAAGTGTCCTACAGTGTTACCTTATCCGTACTGACTAGACTGTTAAAAACACTGCAGTTATCAGTAACACCTTGTTAAGTCTTTCCATTACTGCATTTCATACTGTTTTTGCAGTTGTTTAAACGTCTGATGTGTCACTACTAACTGTATGCATTAAGGCCCTCATAGTATGATCTTTTTATGATAAGAGCATCAGAAAAATCTGCTGTAAATGCAAGGCTTTTTTTTGATAAACTCCTTTTGTCATGACAAAGAGTGTTCCTTTTGCTTGAAAGGATGTGTTTTACTGAAGGAGTAAAAGAAGCTGAAATTCTTGGGTTAATATTACAGAAGGCAAACTTAGTGTTATCTATATCTCCCAATCAGAACTGCAAAAAAAGCGTTTTTCAACTCTGTGAGCTAGGGTGATTTTTTTTTTTTTTCCTAAGCTCCTATAAATAAACCTGGACTGTACTTCAGTTCTGACTTGGTGTTTACAGTTTCAATGTGAAATGTTGACAGTATATAGTTTCCTTAGTTAATACAGAGGAAGACATGAGACCTCTGGGCTACTCTGAGTAAGTTTTCAACTATTCTAAAGATTTTTAGTGTCAATCTATGAGGATAGCTGACAAGACTGTTGGGAAGGCTCCTGAGTTTAAGCATGCAGTGCGCTTCTATATGCAGGATTAGAAATAAGGCTTGACTACCTTAACTGTTCTGGGTAAGAGGCTGATATTTTCAGTCACTCAACCCAGTATTTCCTGTAAGGGTTTTGTTTTGTCTTTTCCAGCTGCAAATGGCTACACTGCTACAGATGAAAGGCTCTCAGGCAGAATTTGAGCAGCTGGAACGCTTACAGTCAATGTTAGAACAGAAGAATGGTGAGATAGAAGATCTTCTTATGAAAGTGAGGCAACTAGAAAAATTTAAGGTATGTGGTCTGTAATTAAGAAAAAATATGAAAAATATCTAAAATCCATGCTCAGGTTTGAAAAGGGATCCAAAGACTACTCATACCTTTACTTGACTCAAGTTCTATTTTACAGCTGGAGAACATACACTTCAGAAGTTCAGAGAAGCAGAAAATCCTACACCACCCAACCTTCGATGTAGAGAAAGTCTTTTCTGGGTTCCTAGGTGTAGCACCTTCACATTTTGCCTAGTTACCTCGAACGTTTAAATCCAATTACTTGGTCAGAGTTCACTGAGCTATGACGTGATTTTTCTCTCGGAAGACACAACCATTTCACATTCTTACTGTGTGTACTTAGGCTTTGCATCTCGGTTGTATTGGATTTATTGGATGTTTATTTCCTTAATGTGTCTTAACTTTGCAGTGAAGCGTGCTCTTTTCTAGAAAAACTGAATTGCTTAATCATTCTTGTAAAGTACTTTCTTCAGTTCTCTTATGCAACTTCATAGTATCTTGTGAGTGTTTTAGAAGGCTGAGAAATACATGAGCACACCTGTATGCACTATTGTAACACTACTAATGTTTGTGTGAAACACGAGCGAAAAACTGTTGCCTTTCTTACTTTATTACATACTTATGGACATGATTGGCCTTTTCTTATCACAGTTTTGGAATGTAAATTTAGGTGTGTTAGCGTATGCATTAGGATTATGCTTTCCAAGACAGTGTCCTCTGTTCTGCGTTTCACCAAAGTGGCATAAAGCTAGGCTTAACCCAGTTTTGTAAGCAACTGAGACAGCCTGATTGCTTTGCCAGTTTTGTCATGTATAAGCTTGATCAGTATTTATTTTGGTCTCCATGCTATGAATAAGTAGTGTCAGGAAATTAAATGATTGATCCAAATAACTATCAAAAGTACCTGTAGTCAGTGACTGACAGAAGCCAGTGAGATCTGTGGGACAGTATTAAATCTGAGTGGTGCTTGTTGAGGGGGAAAAAAACAGGTGAAACAAAACTTCAAAACGTCGCATTACTGATGTATTTTATTGCAAGTTTATTGCATTTGTGGCATCTTTACTATGAACCAACTTTCTTATCTAAAAGATGATACTGATCTTGAGATTTTGGCTACTGTTTAAGAGGGCTTGTATTCCTTACCTTTGAGGTCCAGCTGCTGAAGCCTAGAAATAAAGGCTGCAACAAATTCCCTGTGGGTTAACTAAATATTCTGTGTTTTCAGGTAAAGAGGAAGATAACTGTTATGCAATGCTATCTGAAAACCTCTGGAGTTAAGCACTTGCTTTTTAATTTTTCTTTTACTGAATGAGAACTGTCAGTTTCAATGCCATTTGACACTTGTAACAAATGAATTACTCTGAGCAACTGAGCACTGTTGTATGTTTAAATGCCCCCATGATGAGGCTTCTCTATAGAAATGCATGGAAAAATTCACCTAAGGACTAAGCTAATATGCTTCTGAAAGGTTGCTATTTGACAATCTGACGTTTTTTCTTTGTCAGACTTTATATGAGAATATGGAAGAATCCAGAGCTGCTAGTAACTGCAAAGGAGGAGAGTCTGAAGATGGATACTATGCAGATTTACTGCAAATGAAACTTGACAACTCAAAGTACGTACATAATGATCTGAGGCCTAGAAGGTGGTTGTGGTCTGCTTATCTTCTAGCTACTTATTTTTAGTCTCCCTTTTTTGTTACTTTTTCTATATAGTCCACTGACCGCATGTGTAAATATGCTTTTTGTCTCATTTTTCTAATGCTGTGGAGCCATCCTATGTTCATTATAGCTAACTCACTAAGTTTTGTTTGACATTTTGCTTATTGTTGCAAAAGATAGCCGAACTATTTTATATTATTGTTGCTGTCTTCTAGAGATGTTGTTAATACTCCTAGATACAAGATAATTGAGTACTTAAAAAACCCAAACAACCCACAACAAAACTGTAAGGGAACTGTATGAAGCTTCTTAAGGGCTGTATATATTTATTTCTCTTCTAATAACACTTGAAATGTTTTATTGGACTACTTAGTTGAGTTGTGTTCTTTGGCTAGTGAATTCCATATTATTTATTAGAAAGTCCGTAGTGTTTTTCCTCAGGACTGTTTTTAACTTCTCAGATGAAAATATTGCACTGCCAGCAGGAGGCACTGGTCTGCTGTGGGAATTCCTGAGAAGTGTCACCTGACTGTTGTTGCTATTATGAGTAACTGACATGATGTGCACACCTTAGGATTGCTAAGGCGTGATGATTCAGTGCTTACCATGTGCTTGAAAGAGAGGCAAGGGCATGCACTGAGTATTAACAGAATTATTGTGTGTTGGTCACTTAAGAGTAATGCCTTTGTGTAAAGCCTGTATTGTCAGTTATAGAAGTAGTTGTATTAATTTATACACAGGCTGAGAAACCCCTTAAGAAATAGTGGCTTTGTAGGTTAGGGAAAGTTTCTTAGACCAGTTACGTATGATGTGTGCGTTGTTCAGCATACAGCTTTGTTTTTAACAAGCGTTATATTTCTGGTAACTAAACTCACTGCTCTGTGTCAAGTTCAAGTGAAAACTTTCATTGTACCAAAAGAGGTCTTTTTCCTTTTGTACTACCACCAAACAACAAAAAAGCCCAACTGACTAAAAAAAACACCAACAACCAAGTCTGAGTGACTGTGTAATTTTCCTCCTACTCTAGCAAGGAAACGGAGACCTTGAAAAATGAACTGTCCTTGCAGAGGATGAAAGCTCTGTATGAGAGCCAGAGGGTTCTGGAAATTGAAAGGAAACTCTTCACAAATGAGAGGCATTTGCAAGCTTGTCAGAGCGAGAATATGAACTTGCGAGTTCTGCTGGATGAGCTAAAAATGAAATACGAACCTGAAGGTAAATACTGCCTTTTCATATGGAAAAAAAATAAATATTTGGTCTACTCAACCTTTGCAAGTTGAACGACATTAAAGAGGAAGACATTGGGCTAGTTCCAGATATTAACTAATATTTAAATGGCAGCCTTTTTGCTCATAAACAGGTCCAAAACCTGCTAACTGAAATAGTAAAGCCCTGCCTTGCTCAAGGACCTTACTTCCATATGTATACTGGTGTTAATTTCACAAGACTAAAGACTACATATTGGAGCGTTCAGAGGCTTTAGAGTATAGCTACGTAACCACAGTGAATTAGGTGGGAACAAATTCTTGGGACGTGCTTTTCACCACAGCAGCAGTATCTGTTGATGAGAAGCATCAGCTTTCTGAATGTAGGCAGCTGATCTGATCTTCGTAATAAGTGCAAAGCATTTAGAGGAGAAACTGTTCAGTAGCTTAAGATGGATGAAGCTTTGACAACAGAGGCCCACCTGAGGAACAGCTGATGCCTGGGTACACGCAGAAACAAGGGAGTTGTAGACTGTGGAAGAAGATCAATGGGGAACCAAATGGGTGAATTGGTTTTGGTACTTGTCCATACCCAAAGGATTTAATTTTAAAATCGTAGTTGTGGAAGCTTAGGCCGGCAGCCTCCAAAATGGAAATAAAATAATTAAGCATATTCATGTAGTTAAGAGCATCTAAATAAAAGCCGTGGTAAAAAGGGAGAGTGAATGGGGAGAAAGAGATTTTTCTCTTTCAAGCTGACTTCTATTGAGATACCTACTTGCTGATAACAGATTATATGAAAGGATAGTCTTTAAGGGATGTAAGTTGTCTATTGAGAATTATTCCAAGGTCCTTTAGTCATGTGAAATGTTCTTTATTAGCTTTATTATGAACGTGTTGGTAGACAAGTTAACTCCAGCTACACTGTGTACAAAAAGTATATTCCTTTTTTCTTAGAGTTACTTAAAAGCACTAAAATGAAAAAGAAGAGGGAGAAGATTCCAGTGGACAGTACTTGTGAGTACTTGGACAGCAAAAATACTTCCGTAAAAGAAGCTGCTGTGACTCAATTGCCCACTAAGGAAGAAACAAAGATGACTTCCAAGAACTTGGAGCTAAGTGATGCTTCTCTGAAAAAACACACTCTTGAAGCACCACCAATAAACAGAGCTCTTCAAGCAATGCAAAAAGTGCTTGAACCTGAAATAGAAAGAAAGAGAGTTAAAACTAAAGAGGAGAATCATGATGCCTTTACTTCATGTAGCACAAGTGGAAGTAATTCCTTGACTTCAGCTGCCCCCAGGTCAGTGTCAGCTTCTGTCTATGCTCAAGGCAATCAGCACAGACCTGCATCTCTTTTCTTTCGCTGCATGAACTATGCTATCCACTTCTTTATCTATGTCCTCAGTGTTGCATGCAGTGTAATTCCTCGGCTCCGTCTGCCTACGTTGAACCTCTCGAAACCTTTTAGAAAGACTAAAATGATGATTAATGAAAGACTCTTGAAACATTAGCAATCTTTGAAATAATTTTCCCATTACTTGGAACTGTTTGAGGTGTGCAGATGGCATGACAGTTTGCTCAGTTTGTTCTGACTGCAGAAATAGGACTGTTTTCTTGATCACTTCAAAGCTGCCACACAACTGTGTTACAAATCAAAAGACAGTAGGTATCATGCTTCAGTTTCATACCTAACTTTAGCCCTCAACTTTCAGATTTAGCTAAAAGCCTAAAGATGATTTAAATTAAGTAATTCTTAACTTGAATTTGGTTAACAGAATTTGCATTGCACAAGACAATAGACAATTATGCTATTTGTATTGTCAGACTGACTTCCATAATCTGGATGCGTGATAACTAGAAATACAGCTGCTAAAGTAAGATCCAAGTTCTTCCCCAGGAACTGAGAATTTAAGTTACTTTCTGATAGATGGTAAAGTAACTCAGAACAGTAATTTGCTCCAACTTTATCTTGGTAAAAGGAATGCTGATGTTTTTTCTGTTTTCCAACTGATGCTGTTGTATTCTCTTCATATTTATAGTCTTAGTAAACATGTGTTGGAGTGCTTGGGGGGAGAAAAAAAAAATCTGGGATAGTCTAGATGTTTTGAGCTTAAAACTTGCTAATGTCTACTAATAAAAATATTTTATTAAATGTAGAATGTCAGCAGCTTCAAAGATGGAGGAAGGCCTAACACAAGGAAACGTGTGCAGTGTATATGCAAAAATGAATGGCATTCCCAAGTAATTGGATTGATATTTTGATTTTCAAATCAATTACTCAAGGTTGCGTTGGACAGAACTAGCAGAGTTAAAGTAACTGAACAGCACAATCTTCTGAAATAGTCTGGAAAGAACATGGCAGAAAGAGCAGTTTAAGTAGCTATGTCTAAATATGCAGGGACTGTTGCTGAGGAGGAACAATCAGGGAGGTCAGATGTGGGTGGTGAAAGTTGAGAGGAAGGACTGGATAATTTAGTGATGGCCTTGTGTTCTGACAGTGTTCAGTACACATAAAGGAACAGATAGCATGTAACCTGGGTGTGAAAAAAGTTTCACTTGTTTCCCTTTCCAAAAGAAATGTGAGGAAATACAGTGCCTGCCAACAGGAAGTTGTTGGAAGCAGTTTGTGAACTGAAGGGGTAAACCTACAAGAGAGGGAGTGAGGAAAAGAAATTATTTCATGGTGTTGATGTTAGAAAACAGAGTGGGTAGAAAAAGTGGAAGATGAAGTCATAGTTCAGAGGCAGGGTTCTAATCTTGCACCCATTGCTGTTAGTTCAAATAAGAAATAAAACATATATCAGTGTATTTTGAAAACTAAAACCCACCACAAAACTCCATGTGAGCTTTAAAGTTGTTTTCAATGGTGGTATGAACCTGTAAAAGGCAAATCCAGGCAGAAGGTTCTGTTCATGTTTCATTTGTGTTAATAAACTACTAAATAATCAATTAATGATGTTGTTAAGATAACATTGAGGACTTACTTAACCCTGATCTGTTATGATTTATTATGAAATAGGAAGTCATGATAAAATCTGAGGATTTGAGAGGTTGGGTTTCAAAACACTAAAAGATTTTCTGGCCTGTTCTGTGATAGATGTGGCCAGACCCTACGTAGGAATACAGCTAAATGCTAAGGGACAAAAAATATTGACACCTTGAGCAGGAATGTGGACCTGAAAATGGAGAGTTTAATGGAGGAAAAAATAATTGGCATGTGCATGGTGAATAATTGTCTGTGTTTCACCTTGTGTTAAGTAAAATATGATGCTCTGAAAATCCTGTTGTGGTTATTGAGGGTTATTTTTGTAACTGGAGTAGTTTTTGTGCAATTATTACTTTAGCTCTGTCCCTATTAGTCTATGAAATGTGGCAGTGCAGAGGCATAGTAGCTGTGAAAGGACTGCAGACTTCATTTCTAGAAAATGGTGTTTGAAAAGCTTTGTCATCTTAGCTTAGGAGGTGATGATGAAGTGGTCAGAGCTGATCTGCATGTACTTGTATGGGTGACAAATTTCCATGTTTGAAGAGTCTTCCTGGCTCATGGAATTTAGCAAGGTAAAGCTAGATAACATTGAAAGAGTAATGTATGTACGTATGTACAGTGTATGTCTATAGAATTAAAAGGGTTAAAGCAAGCAAACATTGGGATGCTTTATTAGATGATGGTACTGATAAGGTTATGGCACGTGAGTGATGCAAACATCGTAGTTAGGACTAAAGATTTAAATATTGAAGTGGCTATTTTAAAGTAATGATTATTGTAATTCAGGCAGTGCAAAGGCTGTAGGCAGTGATATCTTCTGTTAGGCCAACTGCTCTATAGAAAGGTACACTTCTGTATTGAAGTGTTTTTCCTTCACTTCTTAAACTGAAGTAGCAAATTCCAGCCCTTGCTGCCTGTTGCTCACCAGCCTGGGCTGCGGCACCAAGGATGCTGTTGCATCTTCTGCAGGCAGGAGGAAATGGCCTGCCTCTTGTAGGCAGGGTCGGTACCTTGAGTTGAGTAGAAATTAGTTCATTATCTCAACTCAATCCAGCTTGCTAATAATGACTAGTTGCCATAATTCCCCCTTTTTGTTTTAGCATTTTTTGTTTTCACAAAGGCTTTAAGGTGAGCAGAGACCCGGCCCATTCATCCAACTCCAGCACGCTTCCCTCCCGCGAATACCACGTCGGGGCTTGCGGCTTTACCTTCTTCTCCGAAGGACTCTCGCTCGGGCTCCCGGCTCTGGCTCCGGCTCTTTTGGCTCAGGCTCGGCTCGGGCTCTCAGCTCCAGCGAGGGAGTCGGGGCTTCCCAGGGTCTCGGATGAATCACATCGGGGTCACCAGTTGTTGCTCACCAGCCTGGGCTGCGGCACCAAGGACACTGTTGCATCTTCCGCAGCCAGGAGGAAATGGCCTGCCTCTTGTAGGCAGGGTCGGTACCTTGAGTTGATTAGTAATTAGTTCATTATCTCAACTCAATCCAGCTGGCTAATTATGACTGGATGCCATAGCTGCCCAACTTAGTTTGTGTTTAGATTTGAGGCTGTTAGCTTCAGTTGGATCTAAAGAAGGGCTTGTGTGCCTAAGAGCTTATTTGCTCTTCTAAATTGTTTAGCTGGATTACATATACCAAATCTACCTCATTTGGGCTTCATTCAAACAGGAACAGGAAATGCCTGTAGCCGTTTGGCTCAGCAGGGGATCTGGATAACTAATATTCTCTTAGGCATGGCACTTGTCTTTAGGAAGTAAAGCTCCATCTGATCAGACTAGTTGATCTTCCTTGAATGGGTAGAAGGAACACTTATTACGTCTCGTTTCTGGGGTCTACAAAGACAAAGCTTGATGGAATTGTATCATAGCTTCACAAGCTTTTAAGTGAAAGTGTTTAACTGTCATGTCGTCTTTCCGATGCATCCATTTCCTTGTGTGAACGCTTCATGAAATATGACAATGCAATTAGAGGTGATCTGTGAGCTGGCTTGGTGTGAGGACTGTGGTGGGTTAACTTTGGCTTGCTGCCAGATACCCACTCAGCTGCTCTCACTCTCCCTCTTCAACAGAAAGGGGGAAGAAAATAAGATGGGAAAAGTTTGTTGGTTGAGGTAAAGACAGGGATCAATTAGTCACAATTGTCAGTCAAGGCAAAACAGACTTGACTTGGGGAAGAATAATTCATGGCCAGATGAAAATAGTGGGACAGCAAGAAAGACAGACAAACACCTTCCCCTTACACCCCAACCCTTCTTCCCAGGCTCAACTTCACTCCTTCATTCCCAACTTCTGTCTCATCCTCTCTGAATGCAGCAGGCGAGTGAGGGAATGGGGGTTGCAGTAGTTCACAACACTTGGTCTGTGCTGCACCTTTATTACCACAGAGGTTGGTAAAAAAAGAATTAAAAAAAGAGACCGGCTGATTTTTCAATTCCATGAGACTTAATTTCATAACATGATGCTCAGCTGTTAACTTTGGACTCTGTTAACTGAACTAATTCATTTTGTCCCTTCTCCTGTTATATGTAGCAGCCTGTAGACGTGATCTATTACACACTAGAAAAACATGTGTGTTTTTTTTAAAAAAACAGTATAGTAATTAAAGTATTGTTTAACAACTTGTATGCTGTAAAATAATTGGTCCTGAAGCCTTTGCAGGCCAACTATAAGATTCTAAGAATGAAAGAGGAGAAACTTATTTGCTTGGATTACCTGTTCATTGTCACATGACAGCTCAATTACTCGAATCTTCAGGCATTTGAGTACCTCACTGCCATACACTGAGGTTTTCAAAAGCGAAGCCAATTTTGGCAATCTGGTGATCCAGATAAAAGCTGTAACTTACTTAGTGTAGCGTATTAACATGAAATGGCTCACTTATTTCATCTTCATAAGTCAGCGTCAGTCCCCTGATAAATTACTTTTGGTATTTATTAACATAGTTCTAGTCTGAGGAAGTTGGCTAACTTTATGCTGAATTGCATATTTTGGTGTACATTCAAAGCATAAAAAGATTTATCTTTTTTTCTCTCTTCAAATAACATTCTAATAGTTGTTCACTTTCATGAAACAATGTGATGCTTCTGATGTGAATTGGATTTCCAAACTTAGTATGCTACACGCTAACAGAACTACCTAATACTGTAAAAGGGGAGTAAGTTGTACAAATCCAATTCTGCTGCTTTGGAAGTCAATTCATGGTTTAAGTCAATTCAGTTTTCATTTGGCCTTTTGGCTTGTGTTCCTGTTTTGCCTTGTATTTTTATAGGGCATCCTGTTGTAAATTTTGGCCACTAGAGTAATGTTTTGGGTTGCCTTGGGTAGAGGTGGTGTTAAGGCAGAAGAGTGGAGGGACAGACTAGGAGAACGCGTACCGTAGGAGCAGATGCACAGACACAAGCTACCCATCCCAAATGGCAGCTGCTAGGGAAGCACAGACTGAGCCGCAGACTAAACAGCAATCAGAAGACAATTACTACCAATACACTTTTTCTCCTTCCCTGAATGTTAGTTCTTGTTGTAACCACATCATTATTTGGCTGCTTGCAAGCAGCAGCGTACCTGAAATGGAGGGCAGCTGGGGGAAAGCTGGCTGGGGATACAACTGGTTAGCCGTCAGAATTGTGGAATCCCTGCTGACCTAGGGAAGATGCGCGGCAAACCCTATTTCTGTCTGGTCTGTTGAGACAGTGCTTATAGGAAATAATATGCAGACTGCTTGTGATGGATAAGAAAAGTTTATTTGATATATTTGTGTGTAAAGATAGACTGGGTGTGTGTGGGGGGGAAATCTGTAGCTAAATTTCCCTGAGCTCTTTTGTTACAGCTCCTTTCGTAGTCCTCATCTTCAGCTGTATCTCTCTGTATTGCAAATAAATCCCTAACAACTGGGTAGCAGCTCTTCTTGTTTGGGAGACCATCACTGAAATCAGCTGTAGATTGTTCTGGGTTGCTCACTGGAGGCTCTTGAGACCACTAGAAATCCACAAGGTCACTATAAAATTGCTTTAATAAATGGGTGATGAACCAGTGTAGAATTTGTGTTTTTATATAAAGCAATGTTTAATTTGGAACTTCATTTTCCATAATTTGTTTTGCTGTGGAAATAATGATGTGTAATAGTCAAATGGTTGTGGGTGATTTGGTTGAGTAAATACCACTATAAATACCACTATTTATCAATTTTTTCTAATGACACATTTGTCTGTTTATTAAGTACTTCTTAAATAATCAAAACATGCAATTGTGCTCAGGTGTTTGTCTTGTTTTTTAACTTACCTCTTTCACAGTCATGTGGCAGTTGTATTCCCATTTACATTCACAGCAGAACTAAAACATGTCAGTAGACAACTGATGTAATTTAGAGCCTGAAAATAATTTTTTTCCCAACAACTTCTTTTCAGATATTTAGGTGTTAAGATAAAGGCAGTAGTAGTAGACAACTAGGCTGGAAATTAGTGTATTCCTTTAAGTGTAGTCCTTTTTTTTGGTGGTGTTAAAGCAAAATGCTTGACTTGATGTTTGTGTTGTGTTGCTGGGACTTTTCACTTGGAGTTGTGCTTTTGTGGACTTGATCTTCTTCATGTGCATGGCACAGTCACTGGTTCTTTAACGGCTGATCCCAACAGTTAACACATTCAGTAAGCTTTTTTACCAACATTTCAGCAGATAGGTGAGGGGAAGGCTATACTTTAAGTGATGAGATCTGACTAGGACTGATATAAAATGCTTTATTTGAGTCTCATTTTACTCTTAAACACTGCTTGCTCTGCCTTTGCATATGGATGGTCTTGTATGCCAGTTTGCTTGTTGATTTTTTTGCTTAAAACTCTTATTTTAGCCCTGTTTTTTTATTAACTAAACATATATTTAGAATGGTTGCTCTGCCTATAGGTTAACAGCTGAATCCAGATTTGAAACTACAGAAGAAGAAGATAAGAAAGAAAACAAAATCACAACTGAGAAGAAAACACAAAAGAAAAAATACACAACGTTGTATGTGTCTTCTAAGCCAACTTCTGAAACACAATGTGCTCAGCAATAAAACCTGCATTTCTAGAAGGAACCTGAACAATTTGGAGTCCTGCTTATACTGCATAAACTTTTGTCACACCTAAGCGTATGGGTTCCTAACTTAGATGTTGATCTGCTTTGCTTTATGAAGAGTATGATTGCATGAGTGAGAGTTGCATTTTTGGTATCTTAACTTCCCAGAGGGCATCAGTTCCCTGGCAATGTGTCCTGAAGTGTTGCCTTGTCTTGAATCTTGGCTCAGTTTCTAAACACGTTAATCATCATTTGTTTGAAGCACAGTGCTACTCTGAAACATAGGTGCTTGCTACAGAAGTCTTATTATATGATAAGACGGGTCAACACTGAGCAGATGCAGACCTCATCTAAGTCGTGCTCCTGAATTTGTTCCATTTCCTGGTTTCAGAACTCTTAACATTTTCCTCCTAACGTGTACTTGTTTAACTTTCAGACTGACCTGATTGCAAAGGTGTATGTGAATCTTTTTATACGTTTTGCAGGGTAGTATTCTTTTGAAACTACAAATTCTTGTATTTTTATTAATAATTAAAATAAATCTTTCTTTCTCTTCCTTTCTAAAATGTAGCCTATCTTGCATTTGAGAAAACATTTATCTAAAGCTGTCAGTTTTTTTGGATTGAGAAGTGACATATTTTGTAGAAGGGATTTTGTTTAAAAAAAAAAAGTACCACTCAATAAAAGCTAAGAAATTGTAATACACATGTTGTGCGTTGTTGTGCTTTTAGGAGACAAATCTTAACTTTCTGTAACTTTCTGATGACACTTCATACAGAATAAATCTGAGGAGAACATTTAAGCTAGTTTAATTGATTTTTTTGTTTGTTTGTTTTCTGCATTTATATGGAAGTTTAAGATGACTTCATTTGACTCATTATACTATGGTTTAAGCTCCCTCTAGTGAATGGGGCAGCCACTTTAAGTAAAAGACTTGGTAGGTAAGATAAAAGCTCTTTAGGACATTTCCTTCTAAATCCATTATAAAAAATATTGAGGAAGAATCTTACAGCCCAGTGGGTTTTAGATTTGATACCTTGATGTGCTGTACATTAACTTCCATAGGTACTTTGGAATCTAAGACTCCTAATGTGCCTCTGTATTAAAACAGGTGCTACTTCAAGCATGTCAGATGGTGCTAATCAGCACCAAGAGACAGTAATGCTATATAAGATTTTTTTAATTTGTTGTAGTCTAACTTTGGTCAAATCATTGTTTCACTTGGTAGTGTGCACTGTAGTAGTGATGCTGACATGTAATTATGCCACCAGCACCACCAAAACACTTATAGATAATGTACAAATGTACATTACAAATACAGCATCTTGTGTTAAGTCATCTTTTGAAGGAATGTAATGGTTTTTGTTACAGGTTTGCAGTGGGGTGTAGAGGGGAAGACAGTCTCTTGCATTAGAATTTTGAAGGGAGCTTTTGGAGAAATTGCTAACTGTGCCTTCATGAATCTGTTGAATGTGCCTGTCAAGGACAACTGTTTGGATATGTGTGTTTACAGTCGTGCCAGTTCAGAAGTGATGCCCAGATTTTGTTAACTGTGACTGTGCACATGCATGGCTTTAGCTTGTCAGTCACTGATCTCAACAGATACTGAGCTGTAATGGTAGGAGTGACTAAAGATGTGGTAAACATAAATGAGCAGAGGTGGTTTGTCACTTTCCAGTGCAGTTTGAACTTGTTATCAGCCCATTTCTACATAGTTAAATTTACGCACAGCCTGGTGGCTGTTACTGCTGTCGTTGAACAAATCGATCGTAAATTTATGTCTCATAGAATCAAGTTGTATCACTTCATCAGTCTAAGAAATCTACTGTCTATCCTTCAGTCTCTTATTAATGAAGTCTGCATAAACTAGGACTATTTTATTTCTTGTGAACTTTTAAGATACTCCATAATATTGCAGGAAGCTAACTTGTATCCTTGAAATGGTTCTTGTCCTTCTTGGCTTTGACCACACATGTGAAATTAAATAATACTAGGTTGAAGAAATCATGCTTTTCATGCTACGAAACATGAGAAGAAACCTTTTTTATGCAGAAGTGAAAGTTGGCTTTGTTTACTGTCACTGTACACTGAGATGCAAATAGCATAAAATGATTGAAGTACATAATTATTTTAATTAGAGGAAAACCTTCAGTAACTTGACATTGGGTGCATGTACTTTAAATGGGAGTACGGAACTGTAGGCCGCCTACTAAGACACTTTAGCTGTGTTGAGCTCCTTAGCATGTGAAGTTACGAAATATTTTTTTTTAATTGAAATAACTTGTTAATGCTACAAACCAAACTTAAGATGTCATTTCAACAAATGAATAAAACTGATTAGGGTTATCTACCCCCCAAAACGACTGCTTTACGTGTTCTCCTGTTGTTTACTTAGAGCACGTAGTCTTTATCATCTTAGATAATACATGCATGCTTACAAACGTTTTGCAGAATTACAACTAGCAGGTGGGGGAACGTCTGGAATTGAGGCTTTTGTTGTGCCGTAACATGCTTAAGGTATTGTTCTTATTGTCCTTTAAGTGCATGAAAAGACTTTGTATGTTTTCTTTTTTCTTTCTGTTCTGTTGCATCAGTTGCTATCCTGCAACTGTGCCCACAGATCTTGGCATAGAATAGAATTTAGAGCCCGTTAAAGGCAACTGTTGTATTCTGCTGAAATTCTTCTGTATAATGGAAGTTAGTGTAGATAAAACCTGATAATTAGGTAGTCAGAATTTCACAAGACGTTGTTTTCTGGAATTGATAGTAGCATTAAAGGAAGCAAGAATTCTCTCTGCTCTTCCTTTGCTTGCCCCCCAGCCCCCAAAAGGTAAGTTCCAGCCATGAATTCTCTAAGCAGAAAGATACTTATGTTCTGGGGAAGCAAGGAATTTTCTACTTGCCTGTAAAGACCTTGTGCCTGGAAAAAGACGTAAGGAAAAGACAGTAAGGTACATGAGGATGATAAATGATTCTGTTCACTGTTTTCTGTGGAATGGTAATTACACAAATAAACCAACAAATATCTGGAATAAAAACCTCTGCTGACAACAGATGTAACTATTACCCACCTTAATTCTCTAGATCCTTGTTGGACTTTGTCTTCTGCTGTAGGAACGTAAGATTTTAGGGTTACCCTGCATGTTGCTGTACTCTCTGGATGTCTTTTTTTCTCTTAAAGCTGAAAAAAGAATTTCTTGCGCAATCCATTTGTTAGAAATTATAGCTCGGACTTTTTCAGACACGGTCAGACAAGAAGATTGTCTTAGCTAACTTAGGGGAAAGTGGTGGTAGGTGCTAGTGGCTGATGAGATGCAAAAGCATCCTCATCAAAGTATGATAGGAGGAAGCAACAGCAGATGTGTGTAGTGCTGAGAGCCGGTGTGGGGGAAGGGGATGGCAGGTGGGAAGCAGCAATGACTTCAGAAGCTTGAGTTCTCGAGTCAGGGCATTGGTGATGAGTTGGGATGGTAAGAAGTGGGGCATGGTCCCCAAGGTGGGGACAGGGCTGTGTTCCAATATTTCAATGTGGTATTTACATGTCTTGATTCTTTGCAGAATCAGATCTCTGAGGTTGAAGAGATTCAGGGCATCAGGAAACCATTGCAAATGGGATCCCATTTTGGAGGTGAAATTTCTGTATATAGTTTCGTTGCATCGTTTCTTTTCAAAATATAGTATTAATTAGGTTTACTAGACCTACATGATGAAGGATGTTTTTCAATGAGTGCTAGAAAGAACAGTTTTCCTCAGGACTTTTGTACAGGGAAACGTAATGAGGAAGAGTAATGTAGAACAAGAAAATAAATGCAAGTCATGGCCTCTAGACCAAATTGTATATGGGAAGGGGTAACTTGCTGCAGTAGAGATTCAGAGGAGTAAGGCAGATATTTCCTAACCAAAGTTCCTGACTTATTACTCAAAATATGTAGTAAATTAAAAGATGAAATGGTTCAGCCTCAAAATCTTTTTTTTTGATAGGTAAACAATATAAATTGGATATTCTACGGAAAATAAAGATTTAGGACTCCTAGATGAAGCTGGTTGTCTGTAGGTGGAGATAATCTGAGTTGCTCAGAATCTAGCTCACTTTTTAATAAACATAACAGGAATTTCAATGTTATTTTAAGGGGGAAAATAACTAGCTACATCCTTTTCCTAAGCTAGTAGGTAGACGTGGTTAAGATTAGGGCAATTCAAGCATATCTGTAGTAAAGTTTAAGGTGGTTTTCCTCCAGAAATAGGTTTCAGAATTCCATGTGCAATGAGACAGACTGGCAGTCTGTCCTTCTTACAATTGCTGGTTAAAATCAAGAACTTGCATGTCATGTGTTACCAAAAATATCCTGAGGATGTAGCACAGCACTCTTGAACAGTTTTTGTAAACAATGACTGGTAAAATGCAATGTAACATCCAGAGGACAGGATTGTCCTATGACTTTGTTGTTCTAAGCAGGAGATAAAGAAACCTAAAATCTTGTAAAGCATTTTCTGTGTTTTTTTAATTCCCAACTACAAGTAAAAAACACGAATGAAGGTGACACACTTGTCTTTGATTCTGTACGTTGTCCTTTATCCAAATTACAAACAGCTTGCCTTGATCTCTGCACAGCCAAAATGGCATTATGTAAGTTAGCTCACACAGCAGCCCGTGTGGAAGTGAAGGCTGTACATATGCAACAAATTACTTTTTGAAGTTTAGTAGTTTAGTCTTTAAGAAAGTGCTGCTTGATTTACAGAATAAAGAGAAACTCTCCAACTTTTTTCCTCCAAAAGTCAAATGACAGAAGTAAAAAGGGATGAGTGCAGATTGAAATGTTGTGACTTTGTCTTCATTTCTCTTACGAGGAGTAGTCTACTCTGAAAAACAAATCGCTGTTTTGGGATAGGTTAGAAGAAAGGAGATTTTATGATGGAGTGTCTTGTGGAGTGAAATCTCTCAAAATCTGATTTTGGTGTCATTTAAGAAATAAGGCCCCCGTGACGTTTCAGAAGGGAGCTAATCAACATTCAGAGATTGTTACTGCAGTGGGCTGAGCACGCAGTAGCCTTCTAGTGTAGATCTTAAGCTTAGTGGTGGTGCAGGAGAGGACTGGCGTGGTTTTTCTCAGTTTTGCCTGCTTATGTGCTACAGCTAGTACCATGCGACAGAAACACCCAGTCTGGGATTCCCCTCCCCCATGACACTGGGGTACAATATCTTGAGAAAAGAGGAAGGAAGCTCAGAGCAGCAGCAAATCTCGCAGAACCCTCGCAGCTGCCCCTGCCTGCTAGTCCTCAGTGACAGCAGCTGGGAGACGGACCTTGCTGCAGTGCCTTTGTTTGTTACCCGTTTTCAAGCCTGTGTCCTACACTTTTTGGTTTCCTTGGTGGTGGGCATCCGTCGGCGCCTCACGGATTCATGTACGATGGCGAGATGGCACAAGACAGACAAGAAGAGTGGTGTAGGTATGTAACTGTAAACTGCCATTTGAGTTTTGTCTTCACAACTTCAGAACAGGATGTGGGCAGGTGTTTTCTCTGGTGTGATGAGTTAACACCCTCCGCTTTACCATGGTGGCTTAATTGAAATGACCAGTTTTGTACAAAGTTCTAATCTTTCAGAGTAAGAAGTACATGAGATGTAACCCTTCCACCCTACCCCACGCACCCACCCCTTGCAAATATTGAAATCTCACAGTAATGCAGTTTTTGCCACCTCAGTATTTTAGAAATGGGTTAAGTTAGTAGTGTGTTGTACAAAAAGTAGCAGCTAGAAATTATGGGGAACAAATGTAGGGGAAGGGGAATCCTACAGTTGCTTCTGAAACTGTCACTTGAGGTTAGTGTTACAGAAAAACCTGTGTATGAGTTGGTAAGCAATGCTTTTTGCAAGGAAAGTCATCTTCCAACTTGAATTTTTCTTAAAATGAGTGATGTTAACTTGCATAAAGGACTGAATTGCTGTTTAAAATAAAGCCTTAAAATTCTGAGT